AGACCTGTATGTTATATGTGTGTTACTGTGATAAAAAATTTTTTGTAATTGTCCCATCTTGAAATGGGCTGGCCCATGTCGGGAATCCTAGAACGGGCTGGCCCATTCTTAGAATGGGCTAATTCTCAGAATGGGCCGTAACACATACTCTGATACTGACACAATGTGGTTGAGTTGCTATTTGCGGTCAAAATTTTACGTTGTTATTGTTCAACTAATGCCTTATTTGGCAAGAGCTAATGAACACCATCGTCCCAAACATTATCCAATCTCCAAATCTGTTAGGGCGATGAGCTACCTATCTGAAAATTTACTTTTATTAGTGATATAAACTACGTTTTCTCCCTTTTGTACTATTTTATTGTTGTGAATGTTTGAACAATAATAGTAATAGCTTTACCATCACTAAGTAATTCCATTCTTGTTTCAATTGTCACATGATTTTGTAAAGCAACCGAGTGCAACTTGTCTTGATGGCTGACACACCAAAGATCCGTCAATTACGTTCCTACCTTAATTTAAAGGCCAAAATCGCAGTCTCGGATGGGCGTATATTCTTCGGAACATTTGTATGCGTTGACAAATACAAGAATATGATATTAGCACATACAGACGAATATCGAGATGGTAAGTGGGTCAAAACATAATCGACTTTGGAAAAAGGATACCAGATCAAAGGGTAAACGAGAAGTCTACTTTAGATGAGAAGAGATTTGTGGGCTTGGTCATGATTCCGGGGAAGCATCTTGTCAAGGCTGAGATCGAAGATTTGGATGTATCGGAAGAATATATTTAACCTTCCCTCACGGAAGGCTATATTAAACATTTATCTATGTCGACGAAAAATCTTCACCATAACACTAATTGTCACTATTATACACATATATTAATCATGTTGCTAATAAATAATCTGTGCATACCTTGCTTTGTAATCCGAAATTTAATCTTTCATTAGCAGTAGCAACGATGTAGCGTTGCCTTTATTACTGTTACTAAAATAAATTAGACAATCTCTCTAATAATATTACTCTCATCAAGCAAACTTCAAATCAGCAACGACAGCCCGATGATCGCTAATGTACATCCCATCATCAAATCTATTTGGAACAACACCATGATTGACCGTTCTAACACGAGATTTGCTTATGGAGGCCGAGTCTACCATCACGAAATCTATCCGTTTTAACGGTTGAGAACTAGTGAATCCGGTAAACGTATACTGATCCCCAAACGATTTGGTACCGTCATGAGATAAGTCATAACGTGTATCGCAGAAAATAAATTTATCCTTTTCGTGGTCAGAAGAGTGTTGTTTGCCAACGAGAGTTTTATAACAGCTCGAATCTTCTTCCACATTAAGGTCTCCGGTTAGTATTATCGTTTCTTGAGATGTGAGATTAAGCTCTTGTGTTCGATGCAAGATGAGGCGAGCGCTTTCATCACGAGCCTTCTCTCCGCGATCATCAAAGTGAGTGTTAATATGATAGAAAGTTTTGTTTGTAAGACGATCGAGAAACCTGATTAATTTTCACGTTTCCGTTAGTATAAAGAACTTATAGCTGTTAAGACTGCCGTAATTAAACTTACTTTGCTTGTGTGACAACGCCTTAAAGGGTGAACATGATGCAAAAATATAAACATGTAATATAAGTGAGAAATAACAATATGAAGATAGATATCTTACAATAGTAACTTACGCGGTAAGCCTGCGTCCCATCCTACGCTACCCGGAACCTCAGGTGTCTACAAAACGAAATCAGAAACAAGACACGTTCAGGGAGCAGTAACAATGACCGAGATTGCTATTACACAAACATACAAACCTCCGATAACCACCAACTCGCTGATTCTTGAAGTTGCAGTCGGTTTCTGTTCACAAGTTATTAGTCGAACAGTAAACGATGTCAAGACAGAATACAATCGTCTCAATGCGAATACAAACTGATCTTACTTGTTGTAAAATATCGGAACAAACTCGCCCTCCCTCTTTCCATCATCGCGCCCTACACCGATCCATCCCCAATTGGATCTAAACGAGCGTTCAAGATCTTGAACTTGATTATACAATGCTTCCTGATTAGACCAATGTGAGTTATGGTATGGATTAACTCTTTCGTAAAACAATTTATGTTGCTAATGATTGTTACTTTGACCATTCTTTCCGTGTACATACTTGAAATCCTACAACGTCAACTTTATGAAATGTGATGGTATCAGCAACTTTGGGATGTCTAATACGCCATGGCGTTTCCCCGGTAGTATGTAATCCACTTCGTCCGTCAAATCGAATGTTAAAAGTAGCTACATTTATAAAGAATATCTATTATTCAGTAAATTTTTGGAATTTAATTTTTATATTCACAAATCATATATATATGCTGGTTACATTACCGATTCGTAGTGGATCAGCAGTACTCATTGGAATTCTCATAGTTTCTTGTGTGAATGTAAAAGAAGAAAGAAACTTCATATGTAATTTCCCCGTTCAGATATCAAGATCTGTACGACATTGTCCAAATATGTTTGATGGGATCGACATAGTCCCGCTTTTCACATACTTTGAATTCTTAAAAGATGTCTCATCAGTCTGGCATTAAAAGTATGTCCATTAAATATCTACACTCAATATTGTCGCAATCACTAACTCTTGCGGATGCTTTTTATACCATTCAGCATCACAGGAGTTGGCAGATCTATTTGTCACCGCAGTAGCCGAAGGCAATTTGAGAGTAATACGCGTTTCCATAGTATCTGGTAAGTAATTCAGTCCTACTGTCGACTAATTACTTTGTGAGGTTAAACTATTTGAACGCTTACTTGACTATATTGTGCGTGCTGGAATAGAGTCACTCATACCCGATGGGACGGCCGAAGTGTCAGGCTCCTGGGAGACTGGTGAATAATTTGTGAAATGTGCAGTTCGATACTTGTAATTTTGTACATTGCTAACTAAGTATGTACAGATTTTTTTAAAATTCAAAACTTTCTGGAGGAAAAAAAGCCAGCTTATATTCTCTACCGTATGGACACCAAATCGTCAGCTGGCGATTATGAATGGTTGTTTCTTGCATATGTTCCAGATAATGCCAAGGTAACGCTATGTGAATCATCTAACTGAGCCAGTCAGCAGCCTCGCAAAGGTTATTAAATATGAATCAATTGAATTCAAGGTCAGGGACAAGATGCTCTATGCTTCGACTCGGGCCACATTGACGAAAGAGCTCGGAGACTATCGTTTTGTAGAGTCTATGTATGGTTCAACAACCGTGAGTACGAGCATTTTTCAAGTTCAGAGTTATCGCGGATTAAAATAATGGTTTCTCGTCTTCGGCGATGTCTACTTTTTGCATCGCCCTTTCTAGGAAGAATTCACTATTGAGGGATATCGAAGACATCTCAAACATCAAAAAGCAGCTGCACCACTGACAGAACGCGAGAAAGAACTCAACGAAGTCCGCGCTGCAGAGGTGACGATCACCGTTCGATTTGATGAAACTTATCAATATCTTTAACTGAATTTTGCAAATTGTAAACGATATAGGCAAGCACAAACATATATAGTTCCTCTGCCCGAAGATCTCATGCAGCCGGAGTGTCATTCCCCACATCAGATGATGCTATTCGAGCTTTGAAGAATCTGGGACAAACTGATCGTTCTAAGAATCTCGTGCAACTGGTATGTACTCTAGCATGGATCCCGTAGCCTTACAAGGCATCTTACATTTGTGTTTATCGACTTGCAGAAAATAGACACGGCGGGAGAATGCATAGAACTTGGTTCTGTCACACAAATTGATGTTGGACAATTATCAGAATCAATTCCAACAGATGCGCCGAGGTTTTCTTTCTTCGCTTACAAGTATAACTACAACGGACAGGAACATGATTCGATTGGTGTGAAATCTGCCAAGTTTTCTTTCTTTTTGAAAAAAAGTATCGCTTATCCTATTCAGAGAATATTAATAATGCTTTATTTTTTGACAGTTTTTATCTATACATGCCCATCAAGTTCAAAAATCCGTGAACGCATGCTTTATTCCTCGAGCAAAGCTTCAGTAATCTCCACTGGGCAAAATGACTGTGGTCTCACTATAGCTAAAAAGGTAAGGAGGCTTAAGTAAAGTTGTTCTAGTTATTACTTCAGATCATGCAATCAATTGATTGCTGGCTGACATATTACTTACTGAAATTGTTGCTTTACGATATGTTATATCTGAATGGTGTCTCAGTTTGAAACCAATGAAGTTGAAGATCTTACTGAGGCGTACTTATTAGAAGAACTGCACCCAAAGCGAGAAACTTTGTCGCGCGGATTTGACAGACCAAAGCCACCTGGGAGGCGAACCCATCGAACTTGAGCTGTAAATATCATGTATATTGTTATACAACATATAAATTAAATAGTCATCTTAAGTTATTTAAATACACGAAAATCCGGGAGCCACAAATTACAGTATTAGTATGCATGTCGCTCATGTGACCAGGTACATCCCGTAATAGTACCTTTTTATTAATCACAATTCCCACACATATATGTGTCCTACCTTAACATATTTACCTCAAACATCATGAACGCCTCACAGGAAGACAATTATTCGTGGGTGCTAAAAAGCATCAATAATTTTCAGCTTGAAAAACGCCCTCGACCGCATCCAAAACCAAATGAAGTTGTAATCGCCATAAAAGCTACTGGTATCTGCGGTAGTGATGTTCATTATTGGGTCGATGGTCGCATTGGTGATTTCGTCGTAGAAAAAGAGCTTGTCCTTGGACATGAATCTGCTGGCATTATCGACGAAATCGGCGAGAATGTCAAGAATTTAAAAGTTGGAGATGCAGTTGTCATAGAACCGTTATGTATAAGTTTGTTTAGAAGGCACTGCTAATAAGAGATAATCATCATCAAACATTGCTATTAATTGTCGGTCGCGTTGATTATTTTAGTGGCGCACCATGTTATGTTTGCAGTTACTGTCGAAAAGGGAATTATAATCTGTGTCCAGATATGAAGTTTCCTGCTACACCTCCAATTGATGGTGAGTTACTAGGATATATACAGTATTAGAGATATCGATGACGAAATGAATGACTGAATTTTTATGATCATATAATGATAAGGGACACTGTGCAAGTATTATTGCTGCTCAGAAGATCTTTGCATAAAATTGCCTGAAAACTTTCCTCCAGGAATAGAAGGAGGTGCATTGATCGAGCCACTTTCTGTTGGGATTCATGCTTGTAATCAAGCAGGACTGAGAGCAGGGCAATCTGGTACGATATTAATATTACGAGCCATCAAACCCGGGGAGCAGTTATAATATCTTGATAACGTCTGTATTATCACATTTCTAGTAATAATATTTGGGGCGGGACCGGTTGGCCTTCTCACAGCAGCTGTTGCTAAAGCTTCAGGAGCGATCAAAGTGACAGTTGTTGATATCAATCAATCCAGGTTGGATTTTGCCAAGGGCTATGCTGCTACTGATGTTATACTTGCGGAGAAAGTAACGGCAGGTGACAATGTCATTGATCATTGCAAGAGATTTGCCAAGAGTCTTCTTGAAGCTGGCAAAGAACGTTCCGATGTCGTGTTGGAATGCAGCGGTGCTGAGTCATCCATTATCACAGGGATTTACGTGCGTTACAACAATAATGTTTGTCTTTACACTTTTCATTATTACTGAGAAACTTGACTATCGCTACAGATGACGAGACCAGGTGGCACTTATGTGCAAGTGGGTATGGGCAGTGACGTTGTTGCTCTTCCAATAACACACATAGGAATCCAAGAAATTACTATTCGAGGGTGCTTCCGATACTCGAATGCTCACAGGCAGGCTGTTCAAATGGTCGCTGCAGGCTTGATTGATTTGAAACCACTCGTTACACATAAATATGAATTTCAAGAAGCAATCCAAGCCTTTCAAACCGTGAGGGATCAAAAGGATGGTGTAATTAAAGCGCTTATTCTCGGTGATTAACATGAATTGAGAAACAAGCACAGGTTGCATGCCAACGTTTTTTTGCGTCTAAGAAAATAGCCAGTCATCAAACCAAACATTCTAGTCAACATAAAAGTGATTTTGCTAAATTAAAGACGCCAGTTTATTTCAATTAGGAGTCAATGATTAGCTAGCATATGTTCAACTAAAACTGGAACAAAGAAATTTTACAATTTCTCCGCGAAAAATGTAAGAACTCTCTCGGTTGCCAATTCTGCACTCGCTTGATGATAAGCTTCAGGTCTAGCTTGGTTCATGAAAGCATGTCCGGCATCATATACATGTAGCTCGTACTCGACGTTACCGCTCCTTAATGCTTCTTCCAGTTTTTCAACTGCTTTAGGCGAAGCCATGTGCGACCCATCCTTGGCACCAAAGTGCAGCTGTAAGGGTACCCTAATTGTTGCAGGATCAGCGAGTGAAGCTGGTGGTATACCTGGAAAATGTATTCCGCATGAGTATACGATGTACCTTACGTTAATATAAGCACACATATTGAACTCATACCATAGAATGGTGCCGCAGCATCAATTTCGGGTACTCTTGCTGCTGCTGCGATTGCGACTGCCCCACCCATACAGTAACCAATCACGCCAACCTGTTGATATGCTTTAAATTGTTAGTCATATAAATGAATTGAGTGTGATTGAGATAACAGTACTTGCTTTATGTGCTCCCTTCAATTTCAAGAAACGCGCTGCAGCACCAATCATGTTCAAAGCGTCATCCCAGTCAAGTTCATTCATTAGATGGCTGGCTTCATCGGCTGTTTTTGCGGTCTAATGGAATGATTATTATAATGAATTTTACGATAAAAACGAATCTTTTACCAACAGATGGAGGTAAACGTCTTTACCTTGCCGTGATACAAATCGGGAGCAACGGCGTGAAAGCCATGGTCGGCGAGTTGTTTGGTAAGCTATAAGAGGAGATATTTCACTTCAGCTTACTGGCATGCCAGCCTGCAACCATTTCCACTTGACTCTATGAACTTACATCTTTGATATTATCATTTAAACCCCACCTATCACCAATTGAAATAAGTTATTCATTCGCTTTAATCGTTTGTTGCAATTTATTATCTTTGCTTACCATTCTTGTACAACGATTATACCTCTGGTTACGCCTTCTTTGGGAACATAGAAGCCGTGGTAGTTTTCAAACTCGCATATAGACATTTTGTTTTTATGGGCCGATTATATCCGCATGGACCCGTTTTCGGTTCAAAATAGGACCGAGGCTTTTTGCTTCACTTTCCCATCGAGTCACGTGAGATTTACACAGTCGCTCAATATTAATATGTACAGTATGTTCCTATGTGATGGTTTCTACCCTAAGAAAGAAGCAGGTCTATCCAATCCTATAGTATCAATTATGAATATAGCCATATTAAGCAAATTTATTATATATTAATATACAGTATATCACTGTATTACAATAAATCATTTTCTATATATGACAGATCAGTGTGGTAATTACTCGATGGTTTAGCTGGTGTGCTAATACTCGTCACGTCCTATCTAATAAGTGACAGAATGTGATATATTTTTGTCCAGAAAACCTGTTGCGGCAAAGAGTATCGTTGATGGAGATTTTCGCGGAGTCTGTACTGGCAGTGCTCTGCTCCCATTCCATCGACAGAATGGAGCATTCGACAAACGTTTTCCAGGATATTTGGTAAATTGCTGCAGGGAGACCACAGGCTTTTGGAGTGGACGTGACTCCAATAATTGGACATATTCATCAGGGTAGAGAAAGCTTGGGCATTGGTAGCATCGGAGGCATAGGGGCAGATGTTGGAGGATTAGGCGCTGCTACTTTAAGGATGAAAGTTTGCCTTATTGTTTACATTGGATTATAATGAGCGTGTTGACAATAAAACTAACCATACTGATTCTTTAATGAAACCAAAGTATTATCAACTAGATAAGGCAATTTCCCGTCGAGCTTCATCTGCTTATCATGACAATATTCTCAACGTTATTACAAAACGCAACAGCAGAAGCAACCAGCATCACCCGAAGCTCCAGATTCTGTTTCTTACAGCTCCTTCAACAAATAGTTGTAGGAACATCAAATTTGAGTTTATGCAAATACCGCATGATCTGGCTTTGTTCGCTGCGCAGTCTTTTTTCTTAATGGCTAATTTAGACGAAGAACTATTTCAGAGTGACCTACGAGCATATCAAAACTTTGCAATTGTATGGGCGTACTACACCGCGTGATTTATGTTAAAGAGTCGTCTCCAAGTGTTGTCGCGTCAACAATTGCAGAAAACAGAACAGCGCCAATAGGTATTGTCGGTTCAGCCAGTGAAGATAGGGGCTTTCATAAGTCTTCTATCGAAATTTATCCTGCTTGAAAATTCTACTAAACTTGTCAGTGGGGGGTGCTAGGTGATTCATTGTATTTGGTATTCCAGACGTCCGGTGCAATAAAGGGTAAAACGCCTTGAATGGTTGGATTTGACTCGCGTGAGTTCACTGATCGTGAGAGACCAAGATCGCATATTAATATCAATGGTACTATCATGCAAAACTATGTTTCCATCATGAAGATAACAATGCACAATTCCTGCATCATGGATATTAGACAGATAATATGCAATATCCCTCAAATACTCTAATTTCATCTTCCACGTATGTTTTGATCCAAATAAGACAAAAGACCATTGCACCAACAATTCACGATCCTATTACAAGATGTCGAAAATCGTATCTTAATGGGGGAGGAGGATCTGGTAAAACAACACGAGCAATTAGAATTTTTAAAGACATAAACATGATTAGTTTCACTCATACGAATGCATTGGCTAAAGATTTTCGAGAAAAACGTAATGTAAAAGCTCAAACCTGGCATAGCTTCTTTAGATGAAATGGAGCGGGAGAGTGGACACCTGAACGCATGGGAGAGAAGAAATTTCCACGAGTTGTTATTTGGGATGGGGTATGTACAATTCCTAAGCATATTCTTGAAATGTTCCTTAATTATTTATTAGAACATAAATGCCAGGTAATTTGTTGCGGTGACGATGCACAACCTCCGCCATTCTTCGGAGAAATGCCACATAATTGGTTAAAAGAGCATGCTGATTATTACGAAGAAGTTTTAACTGATTATCGTGCGAAATGTCCTAAGTTGCGTGAACTTAAAAAAGCTATGCGTCGCAAAAATAATCGAATACAATCAAAATTATTTCGAGCAATTCTCTCAACTATAGAAAAATGGGAACGTCTCGACTCCCTCAGATCGTATATTATCAGCACATCGCCTATCTCGAAGAATTGCATCACAAAAATGCCTTGAACTCCATCGTATTAAATATCCAGATCTACCAGTTCCATTAATATATAGGCTAAGAGATGGACGTAAACAAAACTGCCTCGTCCCAATTTGTTCATCCGAGAAACAAGAACTAGTAAAAAATGATATAGTATATTTACCGTTGAATACGTTTCCTGAAAAAGATATATTAAGCGAAGAAAAAATACTTGATTGGGATTTGGGATATGCTATGACTGTGCATACTAGTCAAGGGATGACGCTTGAAGCTCCACAACGAGTTTGGGTTATCGATGAACATTTGGCGTGGGATAATCTAATTTATCTAGCAGTTGGTCGTGTAGAATATTTGAGCCAACTTATTCGGATTGAAGGCCCCCATTACCTCCTGAGATTGAAGATGCAAAAAATAAAAAAGTAATTGAGCGATCCTTAAGACCATTTATTTCTGGAAAACTCGTAGGATATATGAATCAAGATAGGAAAAAAGATCGTGAATTTAATCTATCTATTGACTATATTCTCAAGTTAAAAGATTCGCAGGAAAATAAATGTAAATTATGTCATAATGAATTGTTATGGGACTGGGACGAAGCTGGAAATTCAGACCAATGGACAGTAGATAGAATTAATAACGAATTGGGACATATAGAAGGAAATGTACAACTTACTTGTTTAGAATGTAATAAAAATCATCGAGTCTAGCCCACTCAATGTACCGGATGAAAATATTAACACAAGATAACATTTCCTATAATAATTTTTTTTTATAATATAATAAATATCCAATTCAAAAGTTTATAGGTATGGAAAAAATTCTTAAACAAGTTAACAATTTAGTAATGGATTTTTATATAAAAGTAAAGGCTAGTACCGGTGATAATGAAAAGCAGGTCAGAGAAATATTTGTCAACGGATTATCCCTTGAAAATTATTTGGAAGCCGAAAAATGTGAATCGGGCATTTCATTACAGCAACTGGTAGCAAAACTATGGGTACTAGAGTCAGAACGCAAAGCTAAGTATATCAAATTATTTTAGGATCATTCCTCTATATCTTCTTCACTATCATAAAGATAGATGAAATCAAAATCAAAATCAGGTGTAGTATTTATTTTATCTTGAATATCTATATATAGTCATCTCCAAATTTTTTGAAAAATTATTATACATCGTAGGAGGTTTATACATTCCTAAAGAATTAACTGAATCAAAAATATCATTGTCTTGAGAATATATAGATCTGAGACGATTTTTTACCAACAATCCACCACCTGATGGAACATTATTAAATCGTTCAACCCAAACAATAAAACAAAATTCGTATAATTTTATGAGTGCTCGAAACCCTTCCGAACGCCAAGCATGATTGACAGCAAGAATCTTAAATAGGTCATCATCGTTAGAAAAATGAAAAAGTATATTTTCCAAAATTTCAGGTCACGAGCGTTTCAGCTTCAGCCTGTTTCAGCTTCAGCCCCCACATTAATTATCCAGCGAACATATCGTTTATGGAAAAAACAAATTAATTCCGCTAAAATAATCCAGCATACAGTAATTAAATGGCTTTATCGACCAGGTGGATCATTTATGAAGCAAGCCAAAGATCGATATTATCAACAGGCGGAGAAGAAAATATCACATGGTTGACCTAAATTTGAATCGAAGAATAATAAGTATATATGTTAAGATGGGTCGTAATAATCAGCGTAAAACGATGGGTAAATTCACAGGTAATCCAAAACAATATTTACAAATGCTCAATACCGATAAATATGAACATATATATGAATTTATTAGTGTTAGAAATATTCGAAAAGATAAAATTGTAGGGGTATTTGATTATAATAAACTGCGAGTGCAAATAGCCTCAGGGGAGCAATGTCATGTGTTTTAGGTCTACGAATTGAGGATCAGGCTAATTATGTAATCTGTATGACCTACATCCATCCGGACCAAAAACACAAATTTTCGTATATAAAGCAGTATACCTGTTGTACCTCAGTTGGTCATTGTCTCAGTCCAGAACTGAGACGGGTCCCCAACTGAGGTACAACATACCTACCATGTCTGTTTCCAAAACCGAACTCGATGCGTACTTAGTCGAAAACTGGGATACCGAGACCCTTGTCCTTTGCCTGCAAGAGCAGGACCTAAAGCTTAATGAAAAGCACTTTGACATCATCCGCAATGAAGAAATCAATGGACTCTCCTTTCTTGATATGACCGAAGAAAAGTTTCGTCATGGTCGCGTCGGCTATGCGGTTAAGAAAATTCTAGACACCATAGTGGAAGAAATCATATGTATAACCGAGGGCAAGCAGAATCAAGCAGGAATTGGTATAGCACAGAATTTAATGCAGTGTGAAAGCTCGGAACAGGTATGATCTTATTTTCGACTGGAGCTTTTTATTCCATATAACACTAATCATGCCAAATTTTATAGATGAATAGGAGAAAACGAAAAGTTGACGGGGCCTTTGGGGATTCTTATTATGACTATCTCTGTGGTATTGTTTCCATAGGTATTTTCTGTTATACAGTAGTGAAGGAATCTGGTGCACCAGTAAAACAGAATATCATATCTCGCTAACTGAACTGAATCCGCTCTAGACGATGATACCGATTTACGTAAGGGGTTAAAAGGGTGATGGAAGTAATCGTTGGTTTGTTAAAAGATAGGGTAATGATTGATAGTACACCTGATGTGAAAAGACGTCGGGTAGAAGAAATCAAAAAGTAATTATGTAGGGAAACATGTATACCGAGCCCTGTTTTCTTAGCTGAAAGTTAAGCAATCAGACCTAAATGGTCATTCCTTATTCCGGTATTTGTGCATGGCATTTTTATATACCATCATTATAAAGCTATAGCTTTGTGAAGTGGCAGTATATGACTATATATACTCTTACTTCCTTGATTCTACAGTTTTATAACAATTTATTGTTGGTTTTTTTCAAAAAACACAATCAATTAGCTTCAAAACCATACAAAAACTATTGTCCTTCACGGGCAGAGATTTTTTGGGGAAAAAAAAAGACTTTATATGTTTTACCAGTAAAAAAAATATGAAATCCGGTAATTTGTGGTAGGGCAGTGTAGTATTTATAGGCAAATAAAAGAGACATTTGAAAAGAAAAACTTTTCATATGTTTAATAATAAAAGTTTGTGTTACTTACTAACAAATTTCAAATACCGCGTACAGTCAACTGCCTCTTTACGTTAATTCGAATGCCATTACTATCACTATTGTTAATTTTCTCACTTTAATTCGAACTTAATATAATTCGATTGTTCGTAAAAACATGTCTGTTTGCAAGCGTTCCAAACCTTATGAAAGCAAGTAGTTGACAAGTAGGAAAGCAACTGTTCGTACCTATGATTGTTGTTGTTAAAGTTACGATGTATTGAATTTATTATTATATCAAATAAAATAAAATAAAATTCTGCGTAACCGAAAATTGATAATTCGACCATCACGATAATTCGAACGATGACCCCGGATCGAATTATCGACAGTTGACTGTAGACATCTTGCACTGTGGGTTAAGCCAATATTTTAATCTCCACATCAAAGTGCGTCAATCCACTTAGGATGGCAATAATAATCCTAATTTACATTTACTGGTTCCTTTCGACTATAATTAAGTAATATTGAAAAATTAAAAATTAAAAAGCTAGAGACGTTATGCATAGCGTCTAGAAAATAAATTATATAAGCTTAACCTTAAGCCATACATTTGTGAGGACAGTTAAACCGTGGCCACGAAATTGTCTAGGAATGATGGAGTTAAAGTGTCTCGTATAATAATAACTGTTGGCGTACGCATTTAAAAGAGCCATCATTATTAATATGGCAAGATTGCCAAGTCAATCAGTCCTATTCGCATGATATCACATGTCTTTATTGAATATCTACGCTACCTAACCTAAATTAAAATTATCTTGTTTAGGCACCTTGCTCTGCAAGAATGCAATATACCTACGATAACATTGCAAGTCGAAAAATGCTTTCATTATTAAGTTCAAGTAAATAAATTTCCACAATTTTATAGTCTACTTATTTCATATTAACCCAATCCCATGCCATGATTTTATTAATAAATAAATTCGCAGCAGTATATCGTTTTAATAATAATACAGTAATTTACAGAAAATAAACGAAAAAAATAAGAGAAACAACATTGGATGCAAAATCTAGAATATGTCAAATGCACAAGCTCTTCTTTCATCCATAAGTGATGTACTCTACTCGTATATCTTTCCCCCCAATGTTTTTATTGTGAGTACCAAAGGTATCCTTGTTTTGTGACTTTATCGAAATATTTGGGGATTGGGTAGATACTGCAGAGTGGAAATATTCAGAACCATCCGTATCGCTAGATGGCGCGCGAGAGTTGCCAAAAGACGAACTGTTGATTGTGTAATCCCGCGACATGCCAGTGTGAAAAGAGTCGTTTGATCTAATGTTCGTCACGTTTTGAGGTAGATTGTAACTCGCAGATTTTTCGGATACTGGCGATAACCGACTTGTAGGTAAAGCGGCGGATAGGGCTTGAGAAGAAGAAGAAGAAGAAGAGTATTGGACTTGCTGTGATTGTAGTGGTGGACGAGATGGAACTGATAGCCCCACAGGGTTAACTCCAATGGATGGATCCACATGATAATCATAGCTGTTAACAAGTGAACCGTTGTATCCATTGACATAAGTGCTACCCTGTTCACCCGTATATCCATAACCATATCCATTCCCATATCCATTCCCAATCCTACTATTGATATTTACGTCTTGGCTTTCTTCTCTAACGGACGTGAGATTTCCGAATCGTTGTGATGAAATGGGATTATTATATTGAGACAAAGGAGATGAAGATGCTGACGACGAGAAAGAAGAGGCAGTAACGCTAGTTGGTAATGTCGCTGAGTTGAAGGGATTACCAACTATCGCATTGTTTGCGTCAACGCTTCCATTATCTCCCATTCTGTTTAAACCCTGATCCGTATTCAAATGCCTCCCATCTATATCCCTTGTCGCCCCTTTCTGTTCCTTGTCGGCATCGCTCTCGACTTTCTCCAACTGCGATAATTTAGCAACAGCCGTCTTGAATGCATCGCTCTCAGTTAAATCCAACAATTCATTACTTTCCTCTGACTCATCACGGCGAGCGGTTATCCGAAAAGCATTTGTCTCTCCCATTTCCAGAGAAGAATCTATAGGATAATTTGGTGTGTCCTGACTGGAACGCTTTGAAAATGCTTTTGTGAGGGGCCAGAAAGATGCACTATGAGTCGACTCGGAGGAAGTAGAGTCTGGTCTGCTGGAGATCAAGTTTGCTGAAGACGTCGTTCGAGCTTGTGAAGCTTGCGGAGGGACAAACTGAGAAACTTCGATAGTCCCACCTGGCCTTTCACCCGGCGACCTGTCGGACATTTCGTACGATATTTCACCTTGAAACCCGCTTTGCATTATACCGCCTTGCATCATACTGCCACCTTGTCCCCCTTCATTATCATCATCCTTTCTATAGTCCTTATCGTGTCCATCCTGCCCTGCTTCATTCACAATGACTCTCTTCTTCCCAAGCGCAAATTCCAAATCCATCAATCTATTACCCTTTCCTGTTGATAAACCTCGCATCAAATTCCATGCATACTTGCACAATCCCCCCACCTCTCTGATGAAATCAATCGGGTTCAGACTATCCCAAAAGGCAAACCATACAGAAGTCGCCTTTGGTGAACGATAAGGCCGGTATGAAAAAGCATACACGTGAAGTAGAGCAAATAATATCATTTCGAGGCATATTAGGATTGCATTTATGCCCAAGGTGATATTTCGAGGCGTCCTGGTAATACAATATAGGGAATTTAGTAAGAGATAATGTGCGCACATGTATCGCATGTGAATGATAGACATTCGTAACCTCAACGAATTAGTTAGGACAATGTAGGCTATTTACCAGTATTGAGTTTCTTTGATTATTCCAAAGAAAACGAGTAAATCTAAAAAGATCGACTGCCAAAAAGAAAAGAAGATAACCTGTAGACAAGATAGACGAGACTATAGTTAGATCGTGTGCGTAATATAACAAATACTCACAATGTAGACACACTAGATTTACAATTGTCGCTGACAACTTATGTCTGCAATCTGCGCATATGCCCACAAGCTTTTCACAGACTCTGCTCTCTCGCCTAGACTCGAATACGTTACCAATTTAACAGCCAAAAACTTCAAAAATGGTTTCTGCTCTTTGATCAGGTCCCTAATAGTAATATAAAACGTGACCAAGTAATACATTGCCACCGACACGCTTATAAAGTTCACGACTTGTAGCCAAAAGTTTCCAAACGCGGGCGAAAAACTCGTCTCACACAACACTCCATGATACTGCAACGCGACCGCAATGACCGTCATAATTGGCTTAAGTACGACATATTGGAGTATTCCCCATTTTGTCCAAAATAACCAATGCTGCTTCGTTGGGTTATATCGCAAGCAGCAAAGTGGCATTATTAGGCTTTGTTTTTTTGTATTGACTAATTGTCGCCTCTGTTCTTCCGGCGAGTCACCAAGATATTGAAGTAAGAGGATGAAGAATGAAGCCAGTACAAATGCTTCGTAACAATCGCGGATTGTTATGTAATAAGTACTTTCGGTGTAGAAGCGATAGCTTAGCCATGAGATTAGAGCATATAACGGTGACATAAGACAGATACGTATTATATAACGTTGATGGTCGGGCTGTCATTACGAATGTGAAAAAGTCAAAGGAAAAAGCATATGTGAGAATCGGGTGGAAATGTTGTTATATCTTATATATACTCGCAGTACCTCACCCCTGCACTTCCCCATCATACAATGCCCTTCCCAAACCTTTTCTTTCTCTCTAATACTCGCGCCCTTTCTATTATTCCCACCACATTACCTTAGTATAATTACGCATATGTTTGTAGATCAAATAGAACGCAATTATACAAGCAATTAAGGTACAAATGCCAGAGAATGCCCAGCCGAGCCGATGAGCATCAAAGTTGATGTTACCTGGGTCAAAAAACGGCGTTGGGTCTTTTTCTTTTTCGACATATGGACACGTTGTGTTAAAGAACCCCATTCCGAGTTAAAAGACAAGAATAAAGGATGTAAAAGAGGAGAAGGGAGAAGAGGGAAATATGTAGAAGAGACGAAGGGGGTGGTCGGGGGGGAAGGGGGCTGAGCGAAGGTTCGATGTCGAAGGCTGTGCTATTAATTAATCCAGATCGTTTGATACACAATGTTGGATGTATTCACTTGCTATTACTAGTAAGTCGTAACAAAGTGAACGAGCAAGCTAAATGATGTAAATAGTAATAATAATAATGTATCATATGTTTGTTTTCTTCCCAAAGTTCTTGCCCTCGTGAATATCGAATTTAGAAGATAGAGATTGAATTTAATGGTGATTTAATGGTTGAATTTAATGGTGTAATTTCATGTTTATGGATGAAGAGTGTTTCTTTGGCTTTCGAAAAGCGCAATGGCAAGTATAAGTAATGAATGGTTCGAATGGTTCGAATGGCAATTAAATTTTACAGCTCCTTCATTTCTTATTAGGAACACAAATTGAATACAAAATATACATAGCAGCTTCAGGGGAACGTTGCACTATAATAGGCAATAATAATCATAAACATCGCCACAAGAGGGACGGGGCATACATGCTGTTGAACAAGAGAATGTACAGGGGAGGAAAATTTTTGATGTTAATTGTGGATCCCCTATTGTATTGGTGTTTTACCAGAAATAGAAATCAATTATGCATAGAAAAATTATGTTCCCACTGTGGCTTTTACGATATCTAAATACTAATACTAATACCCACACCATAGTAACAGTGATTGAGACAGTAATTACATAGAATTATGTATACCCCATACACGAACTTAAGCCAAGCGTCTGAGCGTCTTACGCATATCATGAACTTCCTCTCTGAACTCGTAGACTTCTCTTATTCTAATCGTGAGAACATTATCAACAGCTTGAAGACGACTCCCACACTTCCCCATTATAGAAACTGATGTACTTTCAAATCTAGTAACAATGGAGGACACTCGTTATTACTATTACTATTGTTAGCAACGCTTTTAACAAGAAAGCCCGGACGACTAAAGTTTTTGTGATAAATCTCATTAACAAATTGTTCCATTCAACATTCAAGAAAGTTGTACCAAGAACAATGGGATTCCTATCGATTAATGAATGCAATCAGTTGATATCGCACAATTCTTTCCATGTTAATGTGGACATTTAATCCTATTAAAGACTTGAAAACTGCGATGTATGATCATTAGCATATGTTAACGTTGAAACCGCAACGTTTCCAAAAGTGGTTAAATTGATTGCCGAAAGAAGCTATTCATAATTATTCAAGACGATCACTTCATATTCAAGAAGATCACTTTTATATTAATACCCAAATAAACTTCCCAACAAATTAACTAGGAAACAATAATGCGATACTAAAACCTACGGCTTATTAGCCGCTTTCCAATTTAACGACTCATTGTAGATGTTAGTAATAAGAATAATCCGAACCAACTGATCTGTTTAACGTTGAAACATGCCAAACTGACCGTGATTAGATAACTTAGATATAAACTGAATTTATATTGTCACATACTAATTAAATCCGCTTACGAACAATTTGCTGGCCGCAACTTTATGACACACGACATCAATTGTTTGGAGGAACGTTAATCATTGTACGCCAACCGGCGGCAGATACAGTGACACCTCTATAAGGTGCACTCCATGTTCTACACATGCAAGTCCCAGATATAATTGTATAACATCCATAAGTGCACACACGTGACATTTTAAAAAAGTCAACCAATTAACACCACAAAGATGCAATAAATAGTGACATCGGTTTACTTATTAGTACTAGTAAATGTACTCGTGCTTACAAAACTGTATTGGATACAGTGGACTCTCCCTAAGTGCAACACTGACGGGCAAATCAGACACGGCCTGCATTTATGCATTTATAGAGAGTGAATACTTAATGGTCTTATAATCTCAGGACCAAACCAGAGCCTGCATTTAGGGAGGGAAAATATAGTAGCTGCACTTAGGGCGAGCCCACTGTATTTGCTAAAATAGTAAAAATTTTAATCACATTTTCTAAATTAAGCAAAGATGACATAAACGCCACAATAATACAATAAATAATTGTCGTGAATAGTTGCTCGACATTCCTGAAGAGAATATTATTTATAAAGTTCCCGACAATGACCACGAACTTGTATATCTCTTTAAGGATACCGATCAAGCAATTCCGGATGTAGACAACATATATGATAGTGAGGAAAGTCCCTGTTATTAGCGCTAGCACAGCAATCGCTAGCTTGGAAATACTACGTGCCTTTTTTTTACAACAGGACAATGCGGAAAAATATACAAAATATTGAAGTTTGTTGAAGTCAGGAAAACAAGCTCAATGCGTCAAACTAACATTGACACATGTTTTTCTTAAAGTGTAGTCTGACTTCGGTGTAATAATTTTGATAATAAAATAATTATTATGTGTAACAGTTTTCACTTATAGAACAACGAATAGAAAACCAGAAGTCCCGAAAGCGTGCAATTCGCAGTAGTGACGTAATAGTAAGGTGATCCGGTAGTTGACGTAATAGTAAAGTGATCGCGTATTTCAAATCCGGAATATCACGTAAACCTCTAAAAAAAATAAAAACCCCTTGTAAACAAGATGACGCGCTTTACGCTTTTTACCTTTGCAAAAGATAACAAGCGGCTTTACTGTTACGATGGCCTATGATACTAATGCCCAAAATTTCTTCTCCGTTCCAAGTTTTGCTGTGGCAGCACAGCTGGCGAGGGACGGAGAACAAGTTCGAAACACTGTCGTTTCTATCCGGGAACGACATTTTGATGCGCTGGTCGCATCGAGTAGTATTGTCATATTTGCTTGGCTAACCGGTATTATTCCTGCGGGTCAGGGATATTACCAACCTTTTATTTTTATTATTTTTATTATTTCTTCTATTATAGGTCTTCATTCAGCCTACTGTGACTGGCAGACGAGCCGTCACTTTAACGCAAGACGCGAGGCGTATTCGAGGCGTCTCGAAGACTATCAGCGGTGGCGAGACCTGCCAAGGTGGGACGAAACAAGAAGGTTTTCGCGTTGGCACTTGTATAGCCAACGAATGCGTCAGGAGGAAAGGGAGAACCGAAGGCAGGTAACTATTCAGTGGATCACGCAGCGTGAGGAGCATATTGCTCCTCTTGCTTTCTATCAAAGAGAGCAAAGGCTAGAACTTAGCCTCAGGGGGTTCAACAGGGTAATGAACCGCCCGGCGGATTACGTATCCGTAACGCTGCAAAGACGCCCTCAACCTATCCCACCGTGGGCTTTGAGGGCGACTAACTCCATGAATAGGATATTTCCCAGGAATCTACCTGCTTCGGTGCCTCAGGGATCTTACAATCCCGAACAAAGTAAGACAAACGGAATAAAGACATTAAATTATTTATTCGTATTTTTTACTTGACTAAATACCTCCTTCCTCTTAAATAGGGATGTCCCCTTTCCTCCCACCCTTGGTCGATTACCCACCAAGACGACCAAGAGCTGTGGTGCGGGAAAATTCAGGTAAAATAAATGAAATCAAATGCTCGATATACTTATTCATAAGGCGTTCTGACTAAAGTAATTTTTTCTTTTCCTAAATAGCACCTCCGCCACAATCGCCAGACTCCTCGATCCAGCAAGCGATCGATACGAGGAGCCAGTAAGTTTTATTCAGCGATGCCATCTACCATAAGTTTGGTAAGATATTAATTATTTGCATTAAAGGGAAATTGTGGCGCAGCCACCTCAACCGAGACGCAACCCACCTCGAGCCGCAAGACCACGGACCTCTAAATGAAGGCAGTAAGTTTTTGTGTGTGAAATGTCATGTATTACAAGTTAGATATTTAATGTGTTTGCTGTATAGGGTCGATACAGCGCCTCCGCGACCACGACGAAACCCGCCTCGAGCTGCAAGACCGCGGTAAATCAACCGCGAGGCTCGTAACAGCAGACAAGATATTGTTATGAAATAAAATGATTTACATTTGTTCTAAAAACGTGAATTTTACCCCTTTGTATTTTATCGAGTTTTGAGTGAATAATAAGACACATTCGATTTTGTGCAACATAAATTTAGATCTCCTGCCACATTTAATCCTGCTATATAATCCACCCTTTTTGCAGTCGCCTATATTTAATATTCGCTTCACCTGTTAATAATGCTAGTCAATACTAAAGCAATCGATGCAAGACTCTATCAATTGTTCGATCTGGCATTCAATAGAAGGGACGAATGCTTGATTCATAATATTGAAATTCCGAAATCAATTCTTGTCAATGGACCTACTGGCATCGGAAAAACTTATATAATAACACATCTTGCAAAACTATTCAAAGTTAAGGTGGTGATTGGCCCTATAGCCGAATATTTGTCCGTTCTACACATCGACTAAATCTGAACAGATTTTCTCCATTACGGTCGGAGATCTAGCGGCTGAATTCCCTGCATATCCCGATAGAGGTATACGGACTTATTTGACCAAAGCTGTGAAAGAAGAACCGTGTATACGTAAGTAATCTGCAATGCTTGGCTGATCAGATTAACTTGTATTGCTTATTTTGCTCTCTTAAGACAGTCATCTTTGAGGATATAGAGCTTTTCTTTCCTGCTGATGAGACGATGCTTTTTGCGTATCAAGCCTGTATTGATTACACATCCATCATAAACAAAGATGTCAAAATTCTACTAGTAAGTATAGCTGTAATTTATCAAAATAATAGAGATTATCCGCTTGGTGAAATCTTTCGCATTTTTTAATACCTTTTTTAGTCAGAGTTTATTCAATTACATTACATTTGAATAGATCGGGACTTCGACAGATATCTCTAAACTCAACTCGCTTGTCAGAACAATGTTCCAGGTACAGTGAGTGCTATTCACGATGGGTTATATTTTTATAATGTTAATCTAACCGTCGCATCAACTAGGACGAGATTCATCTCGACTTGCCAACACCTATACAGAGACGCGAAATATTGAAAATATTGACTAATGGCCTTGTGACGGTTCCCAATATCAACTTGGACGACATCTCAGACAAATGCCATGGCTACATTGCTGCAGACTTGGCAGCACTTTGTCGTATAGCAATTGAGCGCGCTAATATTAAAAGCATCCATGAAACAGGTACGCTATTGTATAGTCAACCATACCAAATACTGCCGATTCTTTTTCTAACAACTTTATATGTTGTTATGAGGGAGACCAAACGCATATCCTATCACTTACGAAGACTTTGCTGAAAGTATGAAAGATATTAAGATTAGCGCATTACGTGAAAAGAATGATGTAAAGAAAATCGACCCGGTTCGATGGAGCGATATTGGTGGTCTAGATGATGTAAAGGTAGCGATTGAGAGCTGAAACGTCAACCATTTAATAAATCCATATCTAATTCAAATAATTCCTAGCAAATTCTAGACGAGTCTGTTGTGTGGACGTATAAACATGCAGATGCTTTTCGACGATTGGGGATTCAGCCATCAAAAGGTGTCTTATTGTATGTATATAATTTCCAGAAATAAAACCTAAGCATCACCTTACCTCATTCCGGTCACTTCTCCTACCCTCTACACTGCTAAATCTGACTTTTAGATTTGGGCCTCCGGGAACCGGCAAAACTCTTTTAGCAAAAGCAGTTGCAACCGAGACATTTGCCAACTTTTTACCAGTGTCGATACCTGATTTAATCAAAGGCGAGGTAACATATTCTTTAGTGACCCCATAATGGAATGATAAGACGGCTTACTCGTAGTGTTCTACTATGAATAATTGTCAAGGTTGGTGAGTCAGAAAAAGCTATAGCTAATGCGTTCAGAGTAGCTGCTCGATCGAGCCCATGTGTGATTTTTTTAGATGAGTTGGAAACTGTATTTGGTTTGCGTGATGAGAGCGGTACGCTAGGTAAAAAGGTAAGTATGTCCAATTTAAAAGATCACGAACGATGCGATTAAACTTACATTCTTTATACCTGCCCATAGATGATATCTCAATTATTTCTCGAGCTGGATGCTTTAAACGCCAGACAACTTCCCGTCATAATCCTTGCTGCAACCAACAATCCAGAAATGATTGACAGAACCATATTACGACCGGGTAACTACTGTACGATTGTGAATGTCATAACAAAGTTCTATTCGCTACGCACGTAATAATGTATCTATTACGTTATTGAATATAGGACGGCTTGACCGAATAGTGTACGTTCGACCGCCGCTATATGAAGAACGGTTGCATATATTACAGCTATTAAGCGTGAGGACACGATTCTCTAATGAAATAGACTTTGATGATATTGCTCGAAAGACAGAAAACTACACAGGCGCAGATTTGAAAGCTCTTACTCAAAGGGCAGGTTTACTAGCATTAAAGAGGTGTAAAGAGGGAGCAAGTGCTGAAGTAAGTATATTAGTTTCGAGGATATAACAGATGTACTGTTGAAACAAATGGCAGATATACAAGTCTAACAAAGCTCGATATTTCTACAAAGCAAACGACCATTTCGCAAAGTGATCTCTTACGAGCGCTTGCACTAGTTCGACCCTCAATATCCCAGAAAGACATTATCCGATACGAAAAATTCAGACAATTATCATTGTAGTCAATCCCTCTTTAGAATTGGCTATATTAATAAACTACCACTTAACTCTAAAGTCGTGTTTATTTACTTAGAGTCGTGTTTGAAAACTAGTAGTCATGGCATATAATTCTTGAGAATCATGCTTTATGTCAGACTAACAAGTTCAAACAAAATTGTTCCTTGTTTATAATTTACAAAAGTCTCGTTCATATTTACCAAAATCCATAACCTCGACATGAATATTTCAATATCCGTTCAGTAAAATTCATTCCCCAATAATAATAAAACTCCTTCGACTATATAACAGACTCGAATAAAATGCATAGTCCAATTGACAAACTCGACTACCGTGCAATAATTTTCAATGTGTGATATATTTCTTCATTGTTGATAATCGGAAACTCGACTTCTGAATCAAGCCTGAAACTCTTCTCGTAGTCGGCCATTGCTTTTGCATCCTGCCTCAACATTTGATGAACTTGTCCCCGAATACCATAAGTATAGGCATCATCAGGGTCAAAGACAATAGCATTATTCAAATCGCGAAGTGCCTCTTCGTATCGTCCTAATATCAGATTAACTTCACCACGCGCAAGTAGACCGGGAATATAACACGAATCAATTGGTAGTAGCCGGTTGAGATCATCGAGTGCTTGGTCAGTACGACCTTTGATTTTGAATATAGTTGCTCTCTTACAAAGTGCGTCAGTATTGTCTTGATCAACCCACAATAATTTATTCAAATCATCCAACGCCTCGTCGAAACGATCAAGCATCAGATAAACCTCCGCCCTTGTACGTAATGCTTCTGGATCACGTGCTCTAATATCCATTGCCATATCGAGATAATGAAGTGCTAATTTAGGTCGTTCCATAGCTAAATAGACTTTGGCCCTGATACAGAGTGTCGATACACTGTTCTTATTCAATGTGAATGCTCTCTCAAGATCTGTCAACGCCTCATCGTATCGTTTCTGCAGGAAATACAACTGTCCTCGTAACTTGAAAGCAGAGTAACTCTTTGGCTGCAACTTCAATGCCTGATTAAAGTCGGCCAATGCAGCTTCATACTGTCCAAGAGTGCGGTATAACTCACCACGGCTTTTGAATGCAGTAGCATTATCGCCATTAAGCTCTAATGACTTGTTTAAATCCACTAAAGCTTCGTCGTACCTATTCATCATCCGATATACATCTCCACGTATACGTAATGCAGATGAACTCTCTGAGCGAATACTGAGTGCCTTGTTAAGATCTGCCAGGGCGTCGTCGTATCGATGTAGTTTACAATAGACTTCTCCTCGATCACGAATCGCCCAAAAGTCATCTGGTTCGAGATTCAAAACTTTGTTCAGATCGTAGAGTGCTTTGCTTTGATATCCTTGGCGACAGTAAATCTCGCTGCGTCGATATAGTATCCACGTATTCTTTGGTTGTAGGGCGAGTGCCTCTGTAAAATCAATCAAGGCTTCATTGTATCTGTGTAATGCTTCGTATACCTGTCCTCTCTTCTGCAAGGCGATAAAGTATTTTGGTTCTAATTTTAAAGCTCTGTTGTAATCGGCCAGAGCATCATCATATCTGTCTCTTTTTCTGTATACGTTTCCTCTGTCACAAAGAGCTTCAATGTTATCAGGTTCCATTTCGAGAATTCGATTTAAGTCAACAAGCGATTCCCTGTGTCGATGGAGTGCATAGTAAGTATCGCTTCTTAGTTGCAGAGCAGCTATCCTGTTTGGTCGCCTGCAAAGTAGTTTGTTGATTTGAGCAAGTGCGTCATGATCTCTATCTAGTTTGTAGTATATTCGAGCAGATAGTTCGAGCAAATTGGTACTCCATGGTCTGTCAACTAATGCTTTATCAAGATATTGCAATGATTCGTGAAATGACCCAAGATTAAACGATGCTCTCGCACATTGATAGATTAAACGTGAACTAGCAGCATGTATTTCCAAATTGGTTTGAAAATCACTCATTACAAAACGATTTGCTACTGAATTCGACAACACGTTTTCTAGAACGGTTATTTTTGAGAATTTAACTCTGCGATAGAGCGGAGTTATAATGTTCGAAAAGTCCGATTGATTGTTCTGTGTGAGTATAAGTCGCTTTCGATCTTGATTAGCATAGTCATATAATCCCATAGCACAAAAGACTATCGAACGCAAGCGATATGCTGTAGGATTATCTGGTTGAGAAGATAAGACTATTTCAAGATCAGTAAGCGACTTTAGTGGTAGATTGAGGGCTTGATGAATAGCCGCACGTATGAGATAGCCAATGGCTTTACTGGGGCGTTTATTAATAGCAGCATTGATTTCAGTAAGTGCATCATCATACATTCTGCGAGAGGCGAGACGTATTGCACGTTTACATCTTAGGCGGAAGCCGCTTTGTCCTTTAGTAGTTCGGTGTTCTTTTGTATTAAAAATATGTCGTTGTGAGTTCCGTGTTGTGTGAATCGTCGATAGTGGTGGCATTTGTTATCCACAGAAGGCTGGTGTGAGTGATAGTAGACATGGTTTTATTTAGTGCAGCTGGTGTGTAGATTGTATGACGACGGTTATCAAAAACATAGACTTTAATAAAAATACCGTTAAAACTAGTCCCCAGGGTTTCGCTAATTGTTCGTGAATCTGCTTGTCTTTGACTTATTCCAGTCGCTTGTCGTTTTAACTATATGGCAAAGAATTCGAAAGAGATTGTTTCTGTTCGATCGACTGACGATCGAAAGATTAGGGGGTAAATAATAGAACAATTATAGCAATTATGAGATTTACATAAAATTTTAACAAATGAGTAAAATATGTGACCTGAATGCAATTCTTTATTATTTCAGTCAACGCACAACAATAGAATAAAGTACACAAGGGAAATTGTTATTAAATACACGTATTTAGTATTCATGACATATTGCATTGTGGTGGTACATGATGTGCGGATATTAATGCTTATTGTAGCAATTAGCCATCATACTCTTTATTTCCCCTTTCACAGCAAATTGGCGGCTTTGGTTAGCTGGCCGACACCTGTATATCACACGATGTAGGCTTTGGGTAATAACAAGTATGTTTAATGTTTGTGCAACATTGCGCATGGCGAAAAATAGGGCTGATTGGTTACTAACTGGGAATAGGCAAAAAACCCCCATTTAAGCTCAGCGTACCTTGAACGGCAACCGATGTTCCGAACTTTCAGCAAGCATTTCTAATTAATTGAATACAAAGAGTGAAAGAGAGAAAAATGACTGATAGCGATGTTTCAGAACTGTCTATAGAGAACCTCTCTCCTCATGCCTTCAAACTACATTTGGTAGATACGAGAACTGTGAGTAATGACAGTAATCTGTATGTGACGCTATAACTAATAAATTATGAATGTGCAATTACAAGTACATCTGACTCGATTTGGGTAGGTCTATTTACACTTTCCTAACTTTGATATCCGTAGTCATTAGTAAAAGCATGGGACAAAGAAATCTCCAAGATCACTTCAGTCAATTTAACTGATCCGACTCAAGACTTTAAAGTTGAAACACATAACACAACATTTCAGGAACTCCTTAAGAAGGGTGCCTTCCAATGTGTAGTGTCGCCCGCCAACAGTTTTGGCCTTATGGATGGTGGGTTAGACTATTATCTCTCCGAATACTATGGCGGGTTTGAGGCACTAGTTCCAATAGTCCAGAAAGAAATACAAGATAAATGGTGTAGTGAACAAAATGTTGGTACTTGTTTGATAGTAGATGTGAAAGAATTGTCGTCCAGCATTAAGAAGTATAAAAAATTGAATGCACCAAGATACATTGCTCACTGTCCAACAATGAGAACACCTAAATCGTTGGATCCGGGTGATGATATTATTTATAGATGTACTTGGGCAATGTTAACAGCAGTGAGGTACCATAATGCTGTTGTCAAGTCTGAAGATAAAAATTCCAAGCACCAAAGAATTGATGAGATTGTGTGTGCTGGATTTGGCACTGGGGTTGGTGGATTCCCGGAAGATAAGTGTGCTGCTCAGATGGCATTGGCAATAAAACACTTTATTGCTGCTGTCGACAATAACCAAAAGGTTGCTCATACTAATACTGAGAGAAATGACGGTTGGAGAAATGGAGTGTTAATAGGATGGAGTTATGCTCGTAAGATAGAGAGAGCAGTTAAGTCTTTATTTCGTACAGATGCTGAATGAATGGCAAATACTGACATTCCAGCTCAAGATCTTTTGGATGTCATGATTTGTTCATTCTCATTGTCAAAGACATTGTTGTTACTAAGTTTCTATTTGTAGAATTCAGTGAATTAAATATTTCAGCCTTTTAATTTAACAATGTCATCTAAAATGCGTTTAATTGATTCTTGACTACTGTCTTTTATATTTAAGGGCCAATCCTTTTTCCATTCCTGTTCTTGTAATAAACTCCAATTGGGTGACACTTGTTGTTTTAGCCATTTAAAATCTTCAGCTTTATCATAGTGATTGATTGACTGATCTAATTTGGCTTTCTGTGCAATTAAATGTAAAATTCAAGTCATTAATTAATAGTTGAAATGTGACCATTCTTTGTATTGAATTGTAACTGATGTAATATTAGCATACTTCAAACATCTGTTCTAGCCCATCAATTGCCAGTGTGTATGGTGCAAATTGTATCTCTCTGCAGTCTTCAATTATTGGATGGCTTGTCACATGCAAATATATCTTCATTTTAATTGAATCATGTATTCTAAACTGATTACCATAAACCGCATCAACTGATCAGTAATAATAAGCAGTAAAGTAAAGACATGTATAATAATGCTAACCTGTAGCTTGACTCTTACCTGATGACAGCCAACAAGAAATACACACCTTTCACATCCATGTGACAAAATTGAACTTCCAACAGGACTAGACATAATCAATGTATTTTTAAGATTCTTTATATGAATAGCACCGATTACAGTATCGGTACTGACTAAGTTTACGATGCAATCAGTGAGATTTGATAGTTGAAAGTCCACAATTTTATTATCTGCATCCGATGCAACAAGGGATTTAATGTCAAAGTATTTTCCCTGTTCATCATGAAGTGTAATAATCTTAAAGTTTGGTGACATTGTCGACAAAGCAGACTCTTTTACTGAAGACGTTTCAGGCGGTTGTGCCTGTGATGGCACTGTCCCAGTAGTAGATGTAGATTTAGTAGAGATAGCTGCTGTCTTCCTTGATTTAAAGGAAAATTTACTTTTTGGCATTAGGATTGATCTTTGATTACTCAGTTCTTCATTTAAAGATTTCACTTGCTAGTTTTTGTCAAGTTGAGATAGTGTGTAAATACGAGGCTGTAGCAGGATAAAAACAAAGTTATACTCTTCAATCATACCAAGGTCAACTGTCTTTGATCGTATGGAGGCAAATATATTGTAGCTTCTATCAACTTCTTCTCTAGATCATTAATCTGTTCGAGAATTTTGTCACATAAACTAGAAACTGAGGAACGGGATTGCGTACAAAGATCTGATATGCTTTGACGTATTGCTGGTGAAAGAAGTCAGAGGAATCATTACGATGATTAGAACAAAATTCGAAATATTACTTCATAACGTACCTTCACGTTCTTGCTGAAAACTATGCCAAAATTTTGCAGCAGCCTCCTTTGTATCTGGGTGCTTTTGCTCTTTGATATCATCATCAGCAGCGCTCATATTGTTGGGTAGAATATCGTATAGAAGAAGTAGAAATAGAAACTGTATATGCGATGAAGATCCACTATCCAATCAGATAAATTGCAGTTCCGATCGTTTATAAGATTAACTGAGATTGGATAAGGTTCGTAGCACTAATTAAATGTCACGGCTGATGCTGAATGTCGGCTGAAGCTGAAAAAATGACCTTTCATTGGTTGATCAGATTTTATTCTCTAATCCCATTGGTTAGTTTCAGCTTCAGCTGGATTTCAGCATCAGCTCTCACAATTTAATATTACATTATCTCAAGCATCCGAGTTATGGCTTCTGCTCTTCCTGATATAGTTCTCCGTCAGATACTTTCTTTTGTAAAGGAAGGTCCACAAGTTGACTACATTGAAATTAGCAGGCGTCTTAATTATGACTTTATTGATTACCAAAACTATAATGATGGACTCGATACTATTAGAGCATGTTTACAAGTTTCGAGATATTGGCGAGCAATAGGGATTCCTGTATATTGGAACTCACCCGGGTTTACACATCTCCCAACCTTTGATACTTTAATGAGTTTTATTACACAGGATGACGTTAAACAGTCTTCCGGGATACAAAATATAAATCTTTTCCCTTTTCCTGTTCGTCAACACATTACTACGCCTTATCCGTATTATATACGAGAGCTCGATATGTATTTTCTTCATGCAGGAATTCACCAATGGTTGCGAGAAACCGGTGTTAGCGATGGTATTGCGACACCCAAATACTATATATTACTTCAAGCTATACTATCAATGTTTTCACGATATGATGTACGGCTTGATTCTCTTGCATATCCCTTTGTTGAGTTTGGAACCGATGATATGAAGAGCTGGTTCGCTCAAGCCTCACTAAGAAAAGTTTTATTGTCATCGGCATTCTTTCTTCCGCCTGGTAACGTGTTATTGTTAAACGCTTGCCGCAAAGTGGTAAGGTGTTGATATTTTATTGTGGTTTCTGTTCTGATAAATTGCTGATTACCGACAAAAGACTTTGACATTTAGGAGGATTTTTCGATATTTTATTGGCAAACAAGAACACATGAGAGTACAGGTAATGTCACTGACGATGTGGTCAAGTTTATTAAAAACCAGAAGCGTCTCCAATCTATACATATTAGAGGAAATACTCTTACTCCGTATGAAATCAACCAATTGGGTAAAGCAATATTCTCAGCGGGTGATACCCTTCGCTATATACATTTTGAACATATGGCGTTTAACGACTTTGTTTGGAATGGCGTTGAGAAGTGTGTTAAGTTAGAGATTTTGACTTTCACCAGATGCAAAGATGTGGTTAGCATTCAACCTTTAATTCACGCGAAGTTGTTGAAATTGAAGCGGGTAGAAGTTAAGGAGACTACCGGTGTACCGCTTAGAGCGTGGGCAGATAGGTTTAACAGACGCGCTAAAAGAATACGTCATTCTATGTAAATTTTTGACGCTTCTTGTTACTATATGAGCATTTCAACAATATTAATATTACTATTGCTACTTATTTATTTGTTATTATAAACAAATTACATCTTATGTAAATATTTCACATTCTTGACATCGCAGAACAATGTCTATAAATTGTATTGCTAGTTGGCGTGTCTATAAAAACGCGAAATTGTTGGGTTTGAGATCGAAGCAAGTAAATTTAGCTGACGTAAACGAAACCCGATTCCTTAGTATCTTATTTATATGAAATCAACTCGATTTGTACTGAAACCTTTACAAACCTATTCAGCTCTGGTATGTACGGATGAGACTCGCAGTATACTACTCATCGTTGAAAACGTATAAATGGAATCGGTAAATTTCTGCGCTGGAAAAGATAAAGGACTGTCGAATGGTTAGTAAAATATTAAACTTCACCTTCAGTTTCTGTGGGCTGAAATGAATGAAATACATTGTATCCTGTTATAGAAAAGAAATATATTAATATCAGTGATTTAATTAAGAGCTCAACCAGCAGATCTCGGCTATACCAACGATTTTGTCTGAAATCTGAGTTATTCTATCGATAGAAGACATTCATTACTTTGTCATGTTAAAATGTCATATGAGATAGATTATGGGGACAGTGTCCCAGACGACAAAAGCATAACAGTAACAATTTACCTATACGAAAATCTAGGTATTTCTATGACTTGCTGAGCAAATTTATTAGGTCGTGAAGGGGCGAAAGTACACGCATACTTGTCCGCGCTTCTCAGGGGTCGACATCACAGACTATTTTCATCTACTCCAAATAAGCATATTCAGTCGATATGCTGAAGAGGCAAAATTGCTTAATTGGTCTAAATGTGCAGAAGGCAGTGAGGAAATGATATAACTTTACAATTGAATCGGAAACTCGACATTAAGTTCTGTATAATATTCAATAATTGAATATCAGTACATTGCATCTAGTTAAAGTCTTAACGAAAGATTAGACGCGTATCCATTAAATATTGTCTACTCAAACATCCATACCAATCTGCAAATATGGCCAATACACTGTCAAAGCAGCATAATAAATGTGAAACTTCTCCAAACAATTCTTCCTCTTCCCGTATCACCAACATCAATTTATTAACATATACATGCGATTATCTATAGCAAACTAAGCCACTAAAATCATTTCTTAAGCAGTATATAGTTGTTGGTCGTCATTCCTGCGCCGCCTCTCTCTCCTTTCGGCTCCATTAAATCCCTTTCTTTTAGCATTTCCGTAATCCGATGATGATTGCAAGGCAATGTCTTCCATGTGTCTCGTTTTCGACCTGCTGAATTTTGTACGCTTCCTGGAGAATTGGATAGTTTGAAGCGATTCGTGTATCAGGGATTCGCAACGTGCCTTGGTTTCAATTGCATTTTCGACCGAGACGAATACGTCTGGGAAGCGATAGCTGGAATATAGGTAGCGTATTAATAGAAATGTTAGTTGTTATGAAACAAAAGACAAAGACATTGTTGTGCAAGTAATTAGTTATTATTGACAACTGAACCTTAGCCATAAATACAACATAATGACTCTATGCGCTGATTCGAGTTCTTTCAGTACTTCAGGAGTGGTTGGAGCCTGTTCTGGCAGTCGAACCAGACTTTCCAAGTGACATGGCTCTTTCTTTCCATACATTTGTGCAAACTGTGTTAAAGAAGAAATAGAAATGAGTATTCGGACATTTGTCATAAAATAAACACGCTTCGTTTAAGAACACACTTTGGTTAAGTAAGCCATGACTAAAACATCGCTGGTGTTCACTGGTGATGTAACAAATGCATATCGATCCGCTATTGACATTTCCACCGGCTGTATCTGATCTGCAATAATCTTTTGTAAAATAACAGACATCAGTTGCTTGAAAGAAGCATCATACAATATGCACGAACATAATTTTGACAAATAAGTACGTTTCTTATTTCTTACTTTTAGGTCACGAAAATTACAAAGAAAATATTGACCATCTACTTGAGCAAGATCTTCGAATTTTTGCTAAGGGGTGTTAAAATGCGAGTGTGAATATTAACGATATCAACAAAACAACAAAATTGTCTGTCCTATACTGACCAGAAGCTGGGAGAATGACACATTCTCTGACAACTGATGAGCAAAAAGTTCCACCATCTCGGCGTTAGGTTGTAATCCAGCAACCTACATGTAAAATAATTAATCACATAAAAGAAAGCATTGGATAATAACATATACATTTAATAGCTTACATCAATATGTGTGACTGCAGCATTCAACGCTTTTGTCACGTATCGCAGATCTCCATCCTCCATTCTGTAAATAAAATTAGAATATTGATATTTTATTAAATTATAGTAATAATCTTATTATACTCACGCCGTAACTTCTCCCACTTCGTGAGCAGTACCGAATCGTCCTGCTCTCCCAGCAATTTGTTTGATTTGTGAAGGGGTTAGGTATCGATGACTCTTTCCATCAAATTTCTTCACCGTTTCAAACACAATACGCTTGACGTTTCTATGCATAAAAATAACTAACAAGTAAGTAAACGAAACCAAAAATTGTATAATACGCCGTGTACTCTGGAAATCTTTTGTTGTAATAGAGAAAATAGTCTGAGGTGCATGTCATGTTTTTGATAAACAGCCTTACAAATTCAATCCCATTCCAATAGCATCACTCGCAACAATAACATCGTATCCACTGTTGGGATCATTAAATAGTTTAGCTTGTTGAGAACGAGTCTCTAGAAGACAGAAATAAAGTGTTAATAAAATTCTTCAGACTGACACTAACCATTGAACACGACCGTTGTTCCCTTGGCTAACATCTTCTCACTCACCTGGTGGCAATCCTCCATATACAACTGCACATTGCAAGCCCGTCGCTTTTTCGATCATCCGCTTTACTGCAAATATCTGATATCTAGAAAAGGTAACTACTGCATCTCCGGGACGTATATGACGAAATTCATTATACAATGATTTATTTGATGTAATCAAGGGAGAAAGTCTTTTGTATTCTTTTATTTCTAGCTCATCGTTTACATTTTCACAAAGTTCCTTCACAAGAGGGATAACAGATGGATCTCCGCATAGATGGATTTCGTGAGCTTGTAGACCCAAAAGCGCCTGTGTCCATGCCCAACCTCTCTCAGGATCCCCAATCATTTGAATCTCGTCTATGACAGCAACATCTAGAGTTTTCTTCATGTTTGCCATCTCAACTGTAGAACTGACCAGGCGAACTTGCCCAGATATCTCTCTCCTCTCTTCTCCTGTTACCAGATTACATGGTATGCCTTTTGCGTTCATTCTCTCATATATTTCATGAGCAAGTAAACGTAGTGGACCGCAATAGATGCCATTTTCGGCCGACTCTAATCGTCGCAACGCATTGTAAGTTTTGCCGGAATTAGTAGGTCCAACATGCAAGATTACTTTTCTATGTATTACGAGAATAAAAAATCAAATCAATTGGATTAGAATAGCATAAGAAGATGAGTCGGATTATGCTGGAATAAAATGACTCGTATGTGTAGATTCATAGTTAGAAGTGTCAAATTGCGCTCAAATATTGTCATCCGTGTATCATAACCAATGCCTCTTACCGATTCATCTGTCTTGCCTTAGCATACCAATCAGCTGGAAATCTGAGATCGCTAATCTGTCGAAGTGATGAAAACGTCTGTATTTGCTCTTCGGACATGTATTTTGACATGTTCAATTGAGCATACTCAAGGAACGAACTCAACAAAAGCTTCCTCACTCTAACTACACGCCAAGAATTAATGAAACAGAGTCAGAGATGTCAAGAATAAATAGCATCATTGTGAAGTCATTTCAATAGAAAAGTCGACTTCATCTTCAACAATTTTCAACTAACCTACCCCACTCTCTTCATAAGCATTTTCGAGAACTTCATTTCCACATTTCGGCAAGTCACCATTTTCGACAGCCTTTACAAAATCTTGCACAGCCAATTTAAATACAGAGGGAGGTATTCCCACCTCACCACATTGTTTCCTTATATTCCCGTTTCGCTGAAATTGTGCGAGATGCTCCTTTAACATGGAATCATCCCATTCTTTACGATGCAACCTGGCTAATGTTTGCAATGGCGATAATTCTTCAGGATATTGTAAATTACGCGCCCGCCTGTCAGCATATCCACTTTCACGATTTGAATAAGTTTGTGCGCGATAGAATATGGCAGATGTCGAGAAATGTCGTGTAGTGCTGGGATCTATCGATGCGATGCGATTTGATGGTACTCGCTTTGATAATAACCGAGATCGATCTAATGTTCGCTCTATAGATGCAGTATGATATTGTATAGACGGATTGCGTGAGATAAGGCTTTTATGCCAATGGAAGAATGATGAGTGTTTATTAAACTTCGTCCACATGGTATACCAAGTTTTAGACTATTTGCAAACAGCAAAAAAAAAAAAGTTTAAAAAATTATCAGTCTCGTGACTGATGTACCAAAGGTGATCGGTAAATGATCGGCATAAGCGCGTTATCAAATATTCAAAATCCTTAAATGCAAGATCGGGAAAACTCAAGTTGAGTAGAATATCGTTGGATTTTGGATAGAAAAGTACAAGGATAACCAGACGAACACTCGATTATAAGGTGGCTGCGCTGTGGTTCACTTTGGACCGAGGGGAGAAGATGTACGCCCGAAAAATATGATTGAGTTGCTCGATTCGTTTATAATCTACTCTGATATTCGTGGCTGGTTGCAACGCTTCTAACTCAAAAGGGGGGGATATAAACGGGGTATGGCTGGTTTTATTTGCCATAGAAAAAACGTCGAGGTAATTATCGTTTCAAAATAGTGCCAAGTGCAAAAGAATTTCGAAAGCTTCTGAAAAATGGAAGCAATTTGTGTATACTCTAGAAAACCTAACTTGCAAAACCATCTCAAATATTTGTGTAGCTTAAAACGTGATGATTTTAGTAAAAAGCAAGGATATAATTATCTGAAAGTTCGGAATCCATACAAGACTTTCTGTGGATCAATGATAACAAGAGCAAGACACTAAAAAGAAATACACAGAACATGGATTAATAATATTACTGAAATTCACAAAGGCATTTCTTCACAGACTTGAAAGCTAGCAAAAAAGAGCATGCATTTTAAGTAGTTAATTTTTAATGGTTTTCCGGATACGAAAATTACTACTTCACAGTGTTGATGTTTTTAAGGTAAAGTTTTTTACAAGAGTTGCTATTGTCGGACTAGCTTACACCTGGGAGAGCAGCGGTGTACTAGCCGTTTTGGGATTTAGTTCTTTTCCAACGGAAGCCTTTGCTCTTCCTACTTCAAACTAAATACTAATGACAATTAGTGACCTTTAACTAGGTTTTATATTCACGATCTGTATATTATCGGTCTTGTATACGTTATCCCTAGACTATTGTTTAAACCTCGAGTAACCACTTCGATTTCTTTGATGGGATTAGTCTCAAATCCTATCGGTTCGGGGAATTTATCTTATCTAAAACTACTAGTACTAGTAATAATTAAACAATAATCTTGAGTGCAAAAGTACTAAATAGAATTAATTGGCAAGGATTAATAATTCTATTTACCGTCGGCGGGAAAGCGGTTTACACTTCGCCAACAATACTAAGTATCTCTTATCAGGGAATAATCGAAATAATAAAGTTTATATTTAAATTGGATTTTTTATTAGAATAAAAGAGAACCATCCTAATAGCAACGCCTTGCTGAAGATACGATCTGAACTGAACTGGTATTTGTAACTGATTATCGTTTCACTAACTGTCAAGATTTTGTGTCTGTCGAGATTTTTCGACATACTTACTGTATTGGGATGAACTGTCAGGAATTTCCGGTGAATTAATCCC